TTATCTCTGAATATAATTAAGAACAAAAAGTCACGTCTTTAGATATCTCACCATAAAAATTAGACATTGTTTAAATGCAGTTCTAGCTTTAATGTCAACCCTTTTATACCGTGACTAGCTGTGTGTATATTGTTGGCAAATATTGCTATTCAAAGACTGTTTTGCATATACTTGCGAAATTTAAAATGCTACTAATTGTTGGAGTTTTTATATGTTATGTTACTGGCAGGCCACACTTTACACGGGAAGGATGATTTGAACGATGTATTTAAATTTTATAAAGAATTGTATTTTGATGTTTATATAAAGACTTCTCTAAAAAACTTATTTTACTTCTTTTAAAGGCTCCAGCCCCGACTCGAGCCTTTATAAGAGACGAGCCTTGAATGAGTCGAAGACTCGAGAGACTCGAGCCTTTTAACAACTCTATTCAATAGACCTTCATCTCCGGAGTCCGGGACAGTAAAAAGCAACCGTCCAATCCTAACATTATAAACTAACTTTCGCCCGCGACTCTGTCCGCGTGAAATTAAAAAAAAAACAAAAAGTAAGTAGCCTATGTCTTCTTTCAGATTATTTTCTACATCTATACCAAATTTTATCAATATCCGTTCAGCCGTTTAGGCTACAAACTCTAACAAACATCCATCCATCTAAACTTTCGCATTTATAATATTAGTGTGATGTGAAAGTTTAGATGCATGTTTGTTAGTTTGTATCCTAAATTGTTGAACCAATCTTGATTGTCGTAAATGTAGAGGATAGTCTGAACACATAAGATACTGTGCGGCAAGTAAAATAATAATTCATGTGGTGCCGCGGCCTGCCGAAATGCGCCCCAATGATATTTCCGCCAGTGCGTGGCAGGCCTTTCTAGACCCTGCACTAGGAGAGATTAAATTGCTATAATTTTGTGGAAACATAATTACACTTTACTTAATGAGCGAGAGGGACATAGTTTTCTTTGTCCGCACGAACTTAAGTACCACGGCAGGCCGAAATCGGCCTGTTACGCAGTGATCGTGTTAATTGCGGACGATATTTAGTAAATAATACAATACTTATACAGAAAACAGTGTGATTTGTGATTTTGTGATACATAACCATGTTGATGTATGTACATAATCGGCAGTCAAAGAGTTAAAACACATATTTAACTATACAACTAACTACATTTTGTTAGAATTTAATGTTTCAAACATGCTAAAGATAAAATTTGATTAGGGCAAATATACGGGTACTTGGACAATGTTAAAATAGAAACCCTTCTCACTTGAATATAACTAGTTATAAATTTATAGTTTGTTTAAATAAGATAGATTAGTTTGATTAATAACGCATATGAAGTATCGAATTCAATTTGTATGAAAGCAAATGCCGTACTTAACAGACAGGCATCGTAGTGACGAGACAAACACGCAACGAACAGTTATGAACTATCGATATTCGGTTTAAATATTTATTATTTTCTTATTAACTAATTTAGTGGAAAATTCTAGTATTGGTTATAGTGTAGAGAATTAAGCGATGACATAAATAATAGCGAAATCCAATTCGATTACGTACGGCTGTAGTAGTAATAAATATTTATTTACTCTCATTATTTGTCATGGTCCCAATCCGGCTGGTCACCGTGGGGGAAGAAGACCACTACCCTCCTTCCAAAAATAACAACAATAAAAATAACACTAAAATTAACAATAAA